TATTGAAAAAAAGTTGCGTAATTCATTATATATATCATATATATGATACACCTAACCAAAAAAATTCTGCAACTTTTACTATATATATGTCTTTTGTTCTCGAGAGATTAAACAATAGGGAAACAATAGACATATATATATTGAAAGTTGCAGAATTTTTTTGGTTAGGTGTATATACACCTAACCAAAAAAATTCTGCAACTTGCAATATATATATATGTCTATTGTTTCTATATACAGCTATTTGCAATAATTCTGACCCCCCTACACTAATATTCATATATATCAAAGTAGCCTTAGAAATTATGGGATACCAATGCTGATATTTTTTTGAGAAAGTACTCATTCTGGGCAACTCAAAAAATATATCAGTCATGATATCCCATAATATTTAAGGTCAGTTTGATATATATGAAATATGGCAGAGGGGGTCAGAATTATTGCAAACAGCTGTGTATCCCATAATTTCTAAGGCTACTTTGATATATATGAATATTAGTGTAGGGGGGTCAGAATTATTGCAAATAGCTGTATTCTTACAATGTGCTAGGTCTAGCAGTTTTTTTTTGTGTTTATTTCACTGATACCATTACAATCGTTTTAGTGGTGGGATTTTACTGTCTTTAAAGTTTAAAAAAAATAAAGACCTTGTAGCTGATGTCATAGGTGCTGTTCTCTATAATTCAAACATGCTTTGTCTCGTTCCTTTGCCACCATTCCTCTGCGTTTTGTTTTTGTGTTCAATATACACACTGGCAATTTAATCTAGTTTATTGTTTCTGAAAGAAGTATTTTGTCATCGTGAAAAGGCTCTTGAAAAGCAAAATATTAAAGAGTTCGTTTTCACCAAGCAGAGCCTGTGCCATCCTATCTATTGCGACCGTGGGTAATAACACTATTAGCAAGTTCCGTGACGTCCGGGTTTTCAAATTAAAGATGGGGGGAAAGGGGCAAGGGGGAGAGGGGGAAGGGGGAGGGGGTGGTCAGGTGTGTGGGGGTAGGGCTGGGGTGGATTCAGGGGTAACATTACCGGGGATGCTCGTCGGAAATTTTCACAAAAAGACCCCTAAAAATTCCCGGAAGTCTTAAAAAAAGGGCGTGGCTGACTGATTTTAACCCCTAACCTAAAAGATTGCAGAACAAACATTGTTAACCTAAATCAGTTCTAATAATAAATGAATAAAATATTTAATAACAAAACAAAACGAAGAAGAAAATCTATATCGATGCGCTCTTTCTCTTCTTTTCCTAAGAGAATTGCAGAAAATTCAAATTTCCAGAAATTTTGAATTCGCACTCTAAAGATGCCCAACCACAACTTTTTACCCCTAAGAGATCCGACAAGCATCCCCGGTTCTTTTCGAGTTGATTTAAATCTCTGGAGTTAAGGCTATTTGCATTGTAGAGTAGTTTAATAGTCTAGTGCTTTTTACATGAGCTTCTGGCTCGGATAACCTGGTAACCATGCAACTCTTAAATTAAACTTGCATTGTATCGTATTGTGTTGTACGTCATCAACGCATGTCATATAGAAATTCGGGAATCTTCGGTTATACTGCGGATAAACCAAATGTATATAGGTCTTGCGGGGGACACATATGGACGCTTAGCTACATTGTAGCTTTGTTCAGAAAAAAAAAAACATCTGTGGACACAAAATCTCTGGAGTTGTTTGGACTCCGTGAAGAAAATTAACAGCATTAAGCTAATTTTAAAAATGCGATTCGAAATCGTTATTGCATTGTGGACGCTAAGCTATTCGCTTACTCTTCAATCTGTGGGCTCAGTGCCCCAAGTCAAAGGAGAAAAAGACGGAATCAGCTTCGCAAACGTTGTTACCCTTGAAGGGTATTCTCTTGCTGGAGCGCCATTGAAAATTACGAAATTCTCAAAATATTTCGATTGTGTGATTGAGTGTATCATGGATATTCGGTATATGTCGGTCAACGTGAATATGACCGCTGATGAACATGGACGTCTTGATTGCGAACATTTGGATTTTGATAAATACGAATTTGGCCAAAATTTGACTAAAGTTGAGAAAGTGGATCATTACGCTTTGGCGGTAAGTTATACTTGGTTATACTTATTATTATATTATTTTACTTATTATTATACTTATTATTCAGTTCATGATCGATGTAATTCGACAAAAATAAATGTCAAATATACTGGAAACTTAGGAAACTTGTCAAAGAAATTTCAGGGTGGATGGCCGATGTGTAAAGAAAACTTATTAACAGCTCTCCCTATCAAATTTTAACGACTTGACAACCGTTGATGTACCAGCTTGAATTACTTGCAGTTCATTGGAATGAAAATCTGACATTTACGCCTAATATGTTAATGTAAAATGTATTATTGTTTCGCATTTCATTTCGCTTTAATTTCCTATACCCAGGCATTAAAAAACACATACACATACAAATTGTAAGAAATAAGTTCAATAGAGGATATTACATGGGCGCGCCATACCAAGATACGGATTTTATCTTCGAGTGTTGAAAAGTCAGATCTCTCACGAGTGAGCGTATCGAAGGACTATAAAAAATGCGTTGATTGTAAAAAATAAACTATGCGTCAAATTCATAGCTGTTTTTCATTAGAATGCACGTACTTTTATTTCGATCGTTGAAAAACTGTCCAGAAATATATTTATTATATAATTATCTATGAAATACCTATATTTCTCCATTTCGTAAAACTGAAATTTTCACTAGTGAAAATAACTCTGGATTACTCTATCTAGATTAACTACTGTCCGTGATATCGGCGACTTTACAAACTGCTGTTCGCTTTAATTTAATTAATCCTGTCACATGCAACTATATTACATCCTTGAACTATTTAAAGTTTGTTGTTTTTTTTAGAAAAAGAAGAAGATATTGTCATTTCAAACTGATAGAACAATAATGATTAACCTTAATCAGTTTTCTTGGTGTTCACTTTGATCGTTTATTGGTCATGTTCCTCAAATGGTTTCCATTTCAGCTGTTTCCCATTGATTGTACCCCACTGTAGGCAACGTCAAGAGTCGATAAATAATTAATAGTAAAACAGACATCTTTAACTTTGAATTTTCAGTGTTAAAATTAGATTCTGTCGAAATTATTGAGACATGAGAATTTGGCTCAAATTTTCTCTTAATTTTTGCAGGAAAATAAAACAAACTAGCATACTCTAAAACTAAAACTAACAAATTTCCAAACCTTTTAATATCACGGAAGATGTTTTTGCCTAAAAAGAGGGGAGTTTACGATGACATATATGTATATAGGTAATAGTATGTTTTGTAGTGATATTTAGGATAAATACCACATGTGATATTTGAAAATTGTCCATCAAAGTTTTACGAGCGAAAGGAATGTTACTTATCTAAAATTTCACGCACAAAACATGCTATTATTTGTTCATAAAATGGCCGAATAAAATCATGTAATTTTGAGGTAGAAAATTTTTTAAAAACTATTTACAATACTTGATAAGTCGTTTTATTCAATTATTTTCCAGTACAATAATTTACCAGTCAACTGTGCCGCCATCAATAAAATCAAACGACAGGAAAATGGAGTCTACCGCATCAAACCCAATCYCCAACCGTCTTTCTATGTCTATTGTGACATGGTAACTACTGACGGAGGATGGACAGTTATACAGAGACGTCTGGATGGCGCGGTTGATTTTTACCGCGCTTGGAACGACTACAAACAGGGGTTTGGTAACAAGAMCGGTGAATATTGGCTGGGACTAGATCGTATCCACGCTATGACGTCACAACGAAGTTTCCGGCTTCGTGTTGACTTGGAAGACTTTGATAAGAACACGCGATACGCGGAGTACGATAYTTTTAGTATCGCTGATGAAGCTRACAGTTTTCGCCTYTCTATTGGCAACTACTCAGGTGTGGTATAAGTAGTTCTACTCCMAAAGCTGAAATAAACAATGTCATTYCCACAACCACCACCACCACCACCACAACCAATTACAACAGTAACAACACCATCGAGGCTCACAACTAACATCATCACAATTAAATCACCAGCAYACCCCTGCTGCCTTTAATKCTATGCCTTATGGGTATTTTCTGTTCKAWTTTAAGGTGATGCAGGTGATTCTCTCCACTATCACAATAATATGGCTTTCTCCACCAAAGATCGAGACAAAGACACGAGGAATGGCGCATGCGCCGTGACCTACTCTGCCGCATGGTGGTATGCTAGCTGTCACCGCAGTAATCTTAATGGTCTTTATTTGCGTGGCACCACTAGTCAGTTTGCAAAGGGTGTAATTTGGTATACCTGGAAAGGCCATTATTATTCTCTGAAGAGGTCCGTTATGAAAATTAAGCCTAAATATTGAAGATTAAAATTAAGCCTTTCTTCTTTGCATACAAGTCACGCAAAACATAGACTAAGGGTGAAAATAAAACGCAATATTTGGTATAAAATACACGCACATGGATTGGTCGAAAACAGGAGTGCTATAGAACATGACGTAGAAATAAAGGAAAGGAATATTGCTTAGAAGGAGGTTATTCCGGGTGAAAGGCTCTTGGAAATAAATTCGGAAAAAAATAAATTCAAAAACACACAAACGGATGACTCCACTCAACCTGACTTTCGTTCTGTCTGGTCAGAATAACTGATCACGTATATTGTTCTTTTAAACGTTTTCAAACAAAACGACGCGAGATTCGGACGTGGAATCAGGCTTTAGTTTACATTACGTTGGCATCACACCAGCTTTAGTTGAAACTGTCATCAGGTTGACTTTTAAAATATTTAAATCCGACTCTTCAGACGAACGCTTGTTATGAGTATTTGGCTCGTTTATCACAATCCCAAATGTGAATTGAACTGGATGTGCATTCTGATTTCCGTCAGAGTTTGCTTGGTTATTTAGACAAATGGAATTAATGAATTATATAAAAACACTGCGGCACCTATGACAAGCTATAGCTTCTCAAATGTATTCCACACGCTAATGTACAGCACAAGTCCATGCATGCGGCACAAGTTTCGAAAATTTAAAGGAGGATGTTATCAAGGAATGGTCATGAATTGGTCTGGGCAGGATTGTTTAAAGCCCCATTAGCTTTGTAGGCTTTAAGATAGGATTAGCTCAATCGAGGTTTGAACTACTCGGCCCTGTCTGATTACTTTTCAATAACACTATATGCAAAAAGCATAACAAATGTGACATAGAATGAAAACAAAAATAAGATATCCAATGCTTACTCGCTGTAACGGTATTTACAGTATCGGGATACCTGTGTAGTSGGAGAGTTCACCATTGHTTKTATGTGTTAGTCCGATTGTGATATTAAAGGACAAGTTAGCACAACAACACAGTGTCTAATAACGACAGTCTAACGTAACATGGTGTCAGAAGTTCTTAACTGGTGGCCTCCAAGATTTACTGGTTTGTAAAAGCGAAATTTCAAGTCTAAACGATCCGAAGTGTGTTCTTCCTACGAATCGCACGTGGCCGGTCGTCACAGACATTCGCATCAAACTCGGACTYTCGTTGAAACTGGCACAAATAAGCGGCCGAAAACAAGTAAGATTGAGTTTATCTACATTAATTCTAAATATAAGCTATACTGACTTGCTTATATGACTGAAAACGAAAGTCAAGCGAGTACCAGTGATACCAATCCTTCTACCAGTCAACAACCATATACAAATATGTCTATGCCTACGAACATTCCTTTGCCGTCCAAACTAGAGGTGGCTGGGAATCTAGCAAAAAATTGGAAAATATTTATTCGCGCTTGGCGAAACTATGAAATTGCGGCTAGATTGAAAGATCCAATAAAGCCTNAAGAGCAAACAAAGGTAATTTGAATAGACTTTGTTTCAGATGAGCCATTCGCGAATTGAAGAACAACAAACAGTGCTTTTCAAAATTATGAAAACTGCAAACCTTGGTGGAGATGCAATAAATCAATATATTTCTGTTATATGTCGTATTTCCTTTGCTTTTTTTCCCTCCCGAGTAMTTAATGAGTTTTTGAAGTCGTTCAAAGGCCTCCAATTCGGATTTGACGGGATTTCAAAGTCCTTGCAATGAGTTCCAGTCCTCGGCTGCGCCTCGGATTGGAACTAATTGTGCGGACTTTGAAACCCCGTCAAGTCCTCAATGTCGGCCTTTAAACATTACTTATCAAATTCATTAATAATTAGCAAATAATATACTGAGAATAATCGCATGATTATATCTTTATACTGGGTGAAAGTTGGGGGCGGCTTTGAATATTTTCAGAAGGATTGCAGAGCTGATTATTACTTAACATTTATTCCTGATAACAGGGCTGATTAACAAAACATAATTAGGTCTTTATCAATGATACAAACCTAACGTTTTATTAATCAGGGCTGTATCAGGAAAACTGAGCCCACACTCTCCTGAAAATATTCAAAATACAATCTAAACTAGCATGCAATCAAACACAAATAAAACACACTGAAAAATCAATTTTGTAGCTATGTTTCGTTTCCTCAAGATAACAATTTATTCCAYGTACAATAGAGTAAATTCTGGTCTTTGTCGGATAAGCATCACCATTTTTCTTTGTAACTTCTTGTATAAATTTGACCGCCCATCCAAAAAATCAACGACTCAGTGTTCATGTTATCGAGACTAGTGTTAACATCTTGAAACTAGTGTTCTCATTTATGACTTTCTTGTTTGCATGGT